GGTGTGTCTGACATTCTTTTCGGTTTGTCTGAGAAATCCCGTCTTGGTTTGTCCGAGGCTTGTCTTGGTTTTTCCGAGACCCTATCCATCGTTTTCCAAACATTTTCCTCGACTTTGGCTTGAGTTCGAGCGCCCTAGATTGGCCGGTGATTGAGCCAAAGTTCCATCTTCTTTCCCCTTCGATTTCCATTACCGAAAACCTGAGTTCGAGAGCCTCCTTCATCGAGTGTGGGTGATTGCGTTTTTCGGATCAGATTTCCATCCTCTCCGCTGTTGGACGTGTATCATTCCCCGCAAGTTATATTCCTTCTTGCACTTCTGCACGGCAGGTTATGTTCTTTCATGGCAGGCTATATTCTGTGTTTTTTTTTTCTCGTGTTTTTGTTCATACAGATGGAATTATACTCTGTTTTTGGTAAATGGGAAGCTGGACAGTTTATTGTGGATGAAGATGTTGGAGCTAGAATATTCAAGATCAACCGTCGATTGACATATTCTGAACTGGTCAGTATGGTAATTGAGGATTATGGGATTGAAGACTCATTCGAAGTAGACATGAGATATTTACCTACAAAATTTGAGAGACAGCGACAGAGTATATCGAGGAATTCTCCCGTAGTAATCATCTCTGATAGACAGATTGAGTCTCTTGTACCAAATTTGAAACACGATGAAGGTATGCCGCTTATGGTTTCTTTAAAAGAAAAGAAAAAGACTGTTGCGGAAGAAGGATGCGGTAGTGGCACTGGCAAAAGGGTTGGCATTAGAGTTGATCTGAATGAGGAACCACCTATTTTGGGGTCATCGTCTGTCGGTATTGGTAGTGGGTATAAACTCAGAGATGATGTTGAAGATTGTGTCAACGATCAAGGGACATTTGAGGTTGATGATTGGGATGTGGACACTCCGGTTGTTGATGTTGATGTTGATGATTGGGATGTGGAGACTCGGATGGAAACTCCTCAACCGCGTGCAAAACGCGTTTTATTTTGTGATCAAGACGCTGAGGTTTATTTCGACCTTGAAATGACAACTCCTCGACCGGATAAAAAACACATTCTAGTGTGTGAAGGCTCCTCGAATGTGCACAAGAAAGTTGATCTATTGAATAACACGTCACACATATACGAGGGACAATTCTTTGAAGACAAATTGTCTTTCAGGTTGGCTATAGAAAAGATAGCATTGAATAACACATATGGCTATCGCACAGTGAAATCGTCTGGTAATACCATAGTTGCTCAATGTCCAGTGAATAGATGCGGGTGGATGGTTCGAGCTGTGAAAAAGGATGGAGCTGGAGTTTTTTGTGTTCGAAAATACAAGAGTGAACACACATGTTCCATTGATGATAGGAACCAATATGTTCGACGACCGTCTGCCAACTTGGCGAGTCACTTTTTGTATGAAAAGGTGAAGGGATCAACCCGTGAGTTTAAACCTAAAGATGTTAAGAAAGATATGTTGACCGATTATGGTTTTGACATGACCTATTGGCAAGCATGGAAAGCGAAGGAAAAAGCCATTGATATTGTTAGAGGAAGTCCTAAAAATAGTTTCAATTTTCTACCGGCTTACCTGGAATTGATTCAAGAAGCTAACTCAGGTACCGTTACCAGCTATGTGGTTGATGAAGATTGTAGATTTAAGTATGCCTTTATTGCATTTGGTGCATGCCTGAGAGGGTTCTGTTATATGAGAAAAGTGATTGTAGTTGATGGGACCTTCTTGACAGGGAAGTTCAAAGGAGTTTTGTTGGTCGCAGTGTGCCAGGACGGAAACAATCATATTTACCCAATTGCATTTGGAGTTGTGGATTCAGAGAACGTTGACTCTTGGGAATGGTTCCTCATGCAATTGCGTTCGAGCATTGAAGACAATGAGAATTTGGTCTTCATATCCGATAAGCATGCATCAATATTAAGGACTATACCAAAGATCTTCCCATTGGCTAAACATGGTATATGTGTGTACCATTTGTTAAAAAATATACGGACCCGGTTCAAAAGTAGAAAGATTGTAGATTTGGTTAGGGAAGCGGCAATGGCGTATACAACAAGTCATTTTGATAGGGTATTCGCTCAAATACATCTGGCAGATGAGAGAGTGGCTAAATATTTGGAGGATGCTGATGTGAAGATGTGGTCTCGTGCTTATTTTAAAGGATTGAGGTACAATATATTGACAAGTAATATCGCAGAATCGATGAATTCCGTGACAAGAGACGTTCGCGATTATCCGATTGTACCTCTACTAGATCACATAAGATCTATCCTCACAAAGTGGTTTTGTGAGCGACGTACTCAGGCAAACATATGCACCCAGGATTTTACGCCTGAAACTGTTGTCACAGTAGAGGACCTGTTGGAAAAATCTCGTAAACTGCAAGTAATATCGCAGAATCGATGAATTCCGTGACAAGAGACGTTCGCGATTATCCGATTGTACCTCTACTAGATCACATAAGATCTATCCTCACAAAGTGGTTTTGTGAGCGACGTACTCAGGCAAACATATGCACCCAGGATTTTACGCCTGAAACTGTTGTCACAGTAGAGGACCTGTTGGAAAAATCTCGTAAACTGCAAGTCCACAATATATGCCCGGGACAATACCAAGTGAAAGGAGGTCGGCATGAACATGTGGTCAACTTAGATTGTTCGACCTGCACTTGTCGTGCATTCGACATCCTTAAGACCCCATGTGTTCACGCGATCGCCGCAGCTACTCGGTCTCAGCTGTCCATATAGATACTTATTGATCCATTTTACTCGGTCTCAGCTGTCCATACAGATACTTATTGATCCATTTTGGAGATTAGCCTACGAAGATAGTATTTATCCGATTGGTGTTCCGATGGAAGACTGGCAGGGTAGGGAAGATGTTGCGGACGAGATTTGTGGTAATCCAATAGTAAGACGGCCAATTGGGAGACCGAAGAAAAAAAGAATACCGTCAGCTGCGGAGAAATATTCAAAGAAGACTCAGAGATCCCACCGATGTACCAGATGTGGTAAAACGGGACACAATAGAGCCACTTGCAAAGAAGCCATTTGAATGTTGAAAGAATGTTGTATGTACTGATCGTAAAATTTTAAAGTAAAAACCTCGTTGTTGTATATATATGAATACAGCAGGACATAATACACTCATGCAGGTCATCTACAGGTCGTGAGAGGACCTCGAGGTCGTACGAAAGACCTACATGAAATGATAGTTTAAACTCGTACGTTTTTTTATGTAATTAAGTATTATTATTTTTATTAACTATTTCAAACGAACTGCGCATGGTGCGTCATTTATAAATTGGCACGTCAAACTCTCTGATTTGGCGAATTGATCAATTGCGAGCAACGAAAATGTTAATAAGCACCTCCTATAACAAATTTGATAAGTATATAATAATCGCAGCTATCTAAATTTAACACCTTATTTTGTGTAGCAATGCATGTTCCCCCATTTAAGGGTATTTTTGCAATTGCCCCTTAAATGGGCACCATGCTAAGTTCGTTTGTAGTAGTTAATAAATGACTTGCACCATGCGCAATCGTCACAGTGACAACGACCAGACCTACATTCAGATTGGGTCGTATGGTTAAAGGAATTGATTAGTCGTACTAAGTGTCGTAGTGAAGTGCAATGAGTCGTAATGAATTTTATCATCCAAGTCGTAGATTTGTAGATATGGTCATTGTACGGTCGTAGTGAAGTCTAATGAGTCGTAATGAGACTTGTCACAACAAATCGTCATGAGATTTCCGACCCTCCTGATTCATGAAGACCCTGATGCTTTAGGGTTTCCGTAAACGGTCTCATGATGCTTTTAGGGTTTAAGGTTTGCGTAATAGTCAGAAGGGTCGTTATGGATAATAGTCAGAAGAATTGATTTGATAGACTTCTCCTTGATTCTCTTCGATTTCATCTCTATCTCCAAGATCTCATCTTTATCTCTATCTCTTCAAGTCTTTGACTTTATCTCCAAGATCTTGTCTCTATCTCAAATCTCCTCAAAATCTTCTTAGCTTTGATTCTATCTTCATCTCTTCAAGTGAAAACCAAACTTCATGGGTCTATCTCTTCATATTGCTTTCCCTAAAATCTCTCCAAGTGGTTGACATTGAGTCCATCTCAATCTCTTAGTCTAACTTTTTCTCCAATTCTTCAGACTTACCTCAAAATATCTCGAATTGTATCTCGCCGGATTTCTCTCCTGAAATCTCTTAAGTTTGTTGAACCTGCATTATCTATCAAACAAAACACATGTGCAAATAATTGCACTAACAGTTTTAATCAATGTAAGATAACAAAAATTACATTTTATCCAAATTTTGGAGGTTTAATTTCATTCACTTGTGTTATGGGTACATCGTCTCCTTCATATGCCGATTTGCTCGTTGCCCCATATATGAAGCATTCCTTGGTACATTGAAGAACAAAATCAAGAATTGTGCTTGCCATTCCCAGCCTTAAAGAGGGGATATTTTTCTTCAGAAGTTGGTCTCTTTTGAAATCAATCCCGAAGGCATGACACTCGACAAACTTGAGAGCGTATATCCCGCAATCATTTTCACCGATTTGCCACAGAGTATCCTGCCTCAGAATTATCTCATATGGATTACGTTCCATGGAAGCAGAGGATGTTGACAAATAATAATACATGAAAGGAACGACCACTGCAAACGGCTTGACAATTTCCCGTCTCATCTGAAGTCCCTCTGGGGTTTTTGGACACAACGAGTCTAGAACCTCAATCTGTCGGTCTTTCCTCTTCACAACCAGTGTAATCCAATGATTATTGTTGACCAACAGAACAGTGTAAAATGTGTCCACATCACTCAAGCTCCGATCCTCCCCGTATGCCCGCGGGTATACGCCTTTGAAGTAGGGATTTAGTTGATTGTGTAGCCGACTGCTAGTAAGATCCCTCTTGCAGAAATCTCTATATACATTGTTCACGAGCATATTGAAAAGGTTATCCATAAAGGCAATTCTACTGTTAGGGAAGAGCTCAGGTTGGCTCTTCAACATCTTCCTATACATTGCCAAGAAGCAGTCCATATGCTGGAGTGGATAAAGAAACATGTCAACACGAATGATACAATGTAAAACACTACGTCAACAAGAATTTAAATTTAAAATACTTACATCAGTCGACAACTGAGACTCCTCGTCATGATATCTTCAATAAAATCGGGGAATCTGACATTAAAAGTAGTGAAGCTGAAATCCTGATGGCTGAAAAGGAGAAAAATCATTTTTTAGTATATGAATTTAACAAGCAAACTGCACGACCCTGCAGGTCATGCATGTCGTCACGCACGACCTGTTTGTTTAAAACCATGACCTGCAGGATATGGATCATGATTTAATATTAATTTTAAATAAGGTCGTGAATAACGTACCGTGTTTTACACCTCTGATGGCTGAAAAGGAGAAAAATCATTTTTTAGTATATGAATTTAACAAGCAAACTGCACGACCCTGCAGGTCATGCATGTCGTCACGCACGACCTGTTTGTTTAAAACCATGACCTGCAGGATATGGATCATGATTTAATATTAATTTTAAATAAGGTCGTGAATAACGTACCGTGTTTTACACCTATGAAGGTTTTTGAGGTCTTCATCGCTTGCCTTTCGAAATGGATCATGATTAATCATCTTTGGTGGCAAAATTTTTCCAACGATTGGGCTGATATAATATGGACTTCCGATTCTCCTTCTCCTCCAGCAAGATCTGCAGACTGTCGTCTGAAGAAGAACTATATGTTGCACGTCGCCTTTTTCTTGAATCCCGCCGTCGCTTGTGTCCCGCCAACTGATTCTCCTTCTCCTCCCACGTCTTCTTTTCCTCGACTTCCTCCTCATCGTTTTCCAGGAGCTGCAGGACTTGCTTTTCCTTCGCTTCCTCCTCCTCCTTCTCCTGATTCTCCTTCTCCTCCAGCAAGATCTGCAGACTGTCGTCTGAAGAAGAACTATATGTTGCACGTCGCCTTTTTCTTGAATACCGCCTGAAGAAGAACTATATGTTGCACGTCCCCCTTCTCTTGAATCCCGCCGTCGCTTGTGTCCCGCCAACTGATTCTCCTTCTCCTCCCACGTCTTCTTTTCCTCGACTTCCTCTTCATCGTCGTCCAGGAGCTGCAGGACCTGCTTTTCCTTCGCTTCCTCCTCCTCCTTCTCCTGATTCTCCTTCTCCTCCAGCAAGATCTGTAGACTGTCGTCTGAAGAAGAACTATATGTTGCACGTCGCCTTTTTCTTGAATCTTTATCAAATTGTGTTGCCAGAATCTTCATATGACTTTCAACAGACATAAGCCTGTTGTCCACTGATAGGAGCATGTTATATAATTTGTTATTTGAAGTTAACAAATTTTCAAGCAAGGACATAACAGTCCTTCGCTCCTTCCCTTCTTTTCTCCTATTTTCCTCTTTTCTCTTCTTCCTTTGCTCCTCTTCTCTCTTCTTATTTTCCTCCTTTTTTCTCTTCTCATCATCTTTTTCCTTGTCCTCCTCTTCGTTCCTCTTTTTCTTCTCTTCCTCTTCATTCTCAGCTTTATCAATAGGCGAGAAACGCAATCTCCTAATCGCCCCCTCCACCAGTTTCTGTGGTATTACTATGCTTATAGGTCGCGCAAGAACAGGCGGCGAATCCAGTTGCGTAGAAACACCCCAATCCTCGTTACAAAACCTATGACCTTGATCGATAAGCCTCAAAATATTCTCGGCGGTAGGATCGTCGACTTCATCACAGTACTTGTTGACGACTTGTCCACTTCTTAATGGAAGGCTCCAATTGACCCGACAATCAAACTGAAAGCATAGAATTTATGTTCATATTAGTTACCGAAAATAGACTGCAGGTAGTTAAAGTTAATATGGATAAATAAATAGATAATTATTTATAAATTAATCACCTTGACGATCTCATATTCCACTTCCTGCACCTTCTTCATACTTGTCGATCTGCAATTCGTCCAACTCAAATACAGGGGACCCTCGCACGCCATCGGCTTGGCAACGGCAGTCCCAAGCGTCGGGATGGCGGACATCGCCCAATATTGAAGCGCAGGAAGAAATCCGCTGCAGCTGTAGCTTTCTTGGCGCAGCTTATGCATCGCGTTATTTACAGATTCTATCAAAAAATCGAAGGCAACTCGGCCCCATGGATAACGTTCACAAACCACCAGGTCTGAAGCAATCCTGACGAACTCATCCAGTATAACTGCTCTTCTCTCCATTGGCCTTAAAATGCCTCCGATGATGATCAAATATATCAGCCGTTTACAGTCCGCTGTGGGGTATCTATTGCAAAACGGCAGGACATTATCAACCAGGTTCCCGTACGAAATCTTAGCTTTACCACCGGTTACTATCTCAGAAAACAAACCAGTACCGTAACCTTCTGGAACGGAGTCGGTCGGCAGATGGCACGGCAATCCAGTAACTGCAGAAAATTCTTGTACGGAGAATCGGAGAGGCTTACCGCCGAAGGCAAACCACATTTCGTGCTTTTTCTCTGTTTTAAGCCGGCGGGAAAGCATACTGTGGATGAGGTGTGTAGAAAACACATAATTATTATCAAACATCCTGAACGCAAACCCAAAAGGAGACATTCTCATCTCTTCTCTGGCTTCGGCTGAAAGATGAAGGTACAAGGAGCGCATGATCTTCTTGAACTCGTACCCTGGATTGATCTGCTTGTGGTATGGCTCGCTACCAATTGCAAAATAACGAATACCATTGTGGACAACCATTAAGCCTGCAAAAGGGTCAATTATCATGATTAACAGAATGTTCAAACGCACAAAACAGGTCCGCATGACATCTTCTATATCGGCAGGTCGATATAGCCATCATGTTTGCACGTCGTACTCTAGGTCGACATTACATTTGCAGGTCGTCAAAGACAAGTAATGATATCCGCAGGTCTGGACTGTTTCCAGGAATTGCGAATGACCCTGCAGAATACGATGGAAAACATATTATATGTTACAGTTCGAATGGAGTAAAATACTTGGCAGGTCACATCCTAGGACGACAGGTATGCAGGTCCCCGTCTCTACAAAATGAACCTGCCCACCTGCATGCCACCTGCAGAAACCTGCGACCCATGGGAGATGAAAGGTACGACGGATGTCGTTTTCGCGACACGGCCTGCTTTTCTCTTAGATTTCCCACAAGAACCTTTCGGTCAGGCAACGAACGGCAGCTCTGTAGGTCCTTCTCCATGGGTCGCAGGTCTCTGCAGGTGGCATGCAGGTGGGAAGGGTCATTGTGTAGAGTCGGGGGGGGGAACAACGGAAACGAAAGATGAAAGGTACGACAGATGCCGTTTTTGCGATACGACCTGCTTTTCTCTTAGATTTCTCACAGGAACCTTTCGGTCAGGCAACGAACGGCAGGTCTGTAGATCCTTCTCTATGGGTCCATAATCCTCTTCAGTGGCATGCAGGTGGGCAGGGTCATTGTGTAGAGCCGAGGGACCTGCCCACCTGCATTCCACCTGCAGAGACCTGCGACCCATGGGGAAGGATCTACAGACCTGCCGTTCGTTGCGTGACCGAAGATTTCCTGTTGGAAATCTTGGAGAAAAGCATCGTGGGAGGGTCATTTTACAGGAACAACGGAAACGAAAGATGAAAGGTACGACGGATGTCGTTTTCGCGACACGACCTGCTTTTCTCTTAGATTTCTCACAGGAACCTTTCGGTCAGGCAACGAACGGCAGGTCTGTAGATCCTTCTCCATGGGTCGCAGGTCTCTGCAGTCTATAGATCCTTCTCCATAGGTCGCAGGTCTCTGCAGGTGGCATGCAGGTGGGCAAGGTCATTGTGCAGAGCCGAGGGACCTGCCCACCTGCATTCAACCTGCAGAGACCTGCGACCCATGGGGAAGGATCTATAGACCTGCCGTTCGTTGTGTGACCGAAGGTTCCTGTTGGAAATCTTAGAGAAAAGCGTCGTGGGAGGGTCATTTTACAGGAACAACGGAAACGAAAGATGAAAGGTACGACGGATGCCGTTTTCGCGACACGGCCTGCTTTTCTCTTAGATTTTCCACAGGAACCTTTCGGTCAGGCAACGAACGGCAGGTCTGTAGGTCTTTCTCCATGGGTCGCAGGTCTCTGCAGGTGGCATGCAGGTGGGCAGGGTCATTGTGTAGAGCCGAGGGACCTGCCCACCTGCAGAGACCTGTATGTCTAGAACGTTACCTGCCTACCTGCCTTAGTAGAATATGATCTGCCAAGTTGGTGTCTCAGTTCGAACTGTAACATAGAGTAGGTTTTCACCTTTTTCTGGAAGGGTCATTCGCAAGAACAACCGAAATAAACGATGGCCTGCACGACACGAACAGCAGGTCATCGTTTAGAACTAGTGAGTAGTAATGAAATGTTACTGACCTTTTTATAAAGAGAAAGACTGGAATGCACTGAACAGTGAAACTGGAGGAAAAACTGGAAGAAAGTGAAACAGTGAAAATGGAGGAATGGAGAAAGATGAGATGTGGAAGTCAAAATTGTGTATTAGTCATTAAAAAAATGTGTATTAGGTTAAGATAATCACGAAATATCGGAATTGGCGGGAAGGGGTATTTTAGGTATGCCAAAAAAAAAGTATAGTTTGCAAATGTTGTTTTTGTATAGAACATTTTGCAAATTTCGTTTTTGTTTTCGTACACTTTGCAAACTCTCCCTAATTTTTAAATACAATTTGGTTTCGTAACTTTGATTCATGGTGAGATGCTACCTACCTGTCTGAGCTGGAGATGACAACATTGATTTTTGTACAGTTATCTTCTACGATCTCCTAGCTGTCTACTTTTTCCTTTTTTTCTTACCAGAGTTCCAATGGCGGCCGCTGCCTCATCCTCTACTATCTCCTCCTCCTCCACTAAACCCTCTCATTCTTCCTCAAAATCTACCTCTGTTCCTCCACCAATGTGACCCATGAGTTCGTCTCTCGATTTGGCCCCGATGAGCGCCGCAAGGGAGCCGACATCATCGTTGAGGCGCTTGAACGGCAAGGCGTTGAGATCGTCTTTGCCTACCCAGGTGGCGTAGAGATCCACCAGGCGCTCACGCTCTCTGCCACCATTCGAAACGTCCTCCCGCGCCACGAGCAGGTCGGCGTCTTCTCCGCTGAGGGCTACGCTCGCTCCTCCGGGAGATCCGGCCTCTGCATCGCCACCTCCGGCCCCGGAGCCACCAACCTTGTCACCGGCATCGCAGACGCTTGGCGCGACAGTATCCCTCTCGTTGCCATAACGGGTCAAGTCCCTCGCCACATGTTCGGTACGGGCGCGTTCCAGGAGACACCGATCACAGAGGTTAGGTTACACGTCCGATCACGAAGCAAAACTATCTCGTCATGGACGTGGATGATATCCCTAGGACCATTGACGAAGCGCTCTTCTTAGCAACGCCGGGTCGACCCGGACCCGTTTTGGTTGACATTCCAAAATATATTCAGCAACAACTTGCGATTCCCAATTGGGAACAGCCATGAGATTGGCCGGTTACTTGTCTACATTGCCCAAACCTCTGGCGGAAGCTCACTTGGAGCAAATCGTTAGATTGATTCCGGAATCTGAGAAACTGGTGTTATGCGTTGGCGGTGGATGTCTGAACTCCGCCAATGAGTTGAATAGATTCGTCCAAGTTACTGGAATCCCGGTTGCAAGTAACTTGACGGGACTTGGATCTTACCCATGTAACGGCGATTTATCGCTGCAAAGGCTTGGAATCCATGGGATAGTATATGTGAATTACGCAGCGGATAAAAGTGACCTTTTGCTTGCTTTCGGTGTTAGGTTTGATGATCGTGTGACGAGTAAGCTCGAGGCATTTGCGAGTCGAGCTAAGATAGTTCACATGGATGTTGACAGCTGAGATAGGAAAAAACAAGAACTGTAGGAAACCTTGTCAATGGCTGTCTTCGGGAGGATTCGGAGCCATGGGTTTTGACTTCCTGCTGCCCTTGGATCTGCACTTGCTAACCTAGACGTTTTCGTCGTGGACATAGATGACGACGAAAGGTTCATAATGAATATGCAGGAATTCGTCACAATCCGAATAGAGAATCTGGTGCTTTTACTGAACAATCAGCATATGGATATGGTTACTCAAATGGAAGACAGGTTCCCCAGATACATGTGAGCTCTGTTGGCCTTATAGAACCTGTCTTCCATTTGAACAACCATACCCAGATGTTGATTGCTCAATAAAAGCACCTTGACTGGGAGATTCTCTACCCGAATTGTGGTCAACTCCTGCACATTCATTATAAACCTTCTGTCGCCATCTATGTCCACGACGATGGCGTCTGGGTTAGCAAGTGCAGTTCCAAGGGCAGCGGAAAGTCCAAAACCCATGGCTCTGAGTCCTCCCGATGATCCCGAATTGCAGAGCTCTCAATGATATTATTACTGAAGGAGAATTGCGGAGCTTTCAAGGATATTATTACGGAAGGAGATGGCCGGACGAAGTACTGAAGGGACCGACCACTTGCATGCACAAGTTAATTGTTGGAAATAAGCTATATAAGCACGTGTTCACTTTAGTAGTTCGGATTGCTGCGTTGTTTTCTTTTTTAGAAGCGGATTGCTACTATGTTATTTGTCGTATTGTTGTTCTAGTTTTCTGCTTTCCTTTTAATTACCTGAATATATTTCAGCACTTAGGTTTTAGATATGTTTCATTACTCTCTTGTGCATCAACTTGAGCTCACTACGCGTATGAGGATTTGACATCATGGGATGGATATCGATCCAATTCGAGATAATAATTTCGTCGGTCCTTTACACATACATACACATATATATACACAAACACACATACATATATATACACTTACATTCATATATATCATATATATATATATGTATACATTACATCCACATACACATTTACATATACACATAAAGACACATACATATAAATACATATTCACTTACATATTTACATATACACATTTACATACACATACGTGTACACATAAACACACATACACATACATTCATAGGCCCATACACATATACATACATACACAAACACATTCACATACACATATACCCACATACACATACACATATACATTCATATACGCATTCAAATACAAACACATACACACATACATAAACACAAACATATATATACACATAAATATACACATAGTACCTTAATTCCGTTGCGAAAATGGATGAATTTTGGCGTTTTTTTGTTTGGATGGGAAATTCTGTTTCAAAGGAAGAATGATTTGTGATGACAATTTCCTCGTAAAAAGAAAAATTAACGCGAGCACACTTTTTTCTTAAAATTCAAAAAATTTCATCGAAAACATAAAATATATATCTGCAATAGAATTTTTCGTCGTGACGTTTAAAATTTTTGTCTTAAATAATCTTGTCGTTTTTGCGATGGATAATTCCACCGAAAACGTTGTTAATTGCGACGCAGAACATTCTATCACAAAAACCGTCACATTCTGTCACAATTTTGTGTGCGATGGAAATTTTTGTCGCAAATTCCGTTGTTATACGATAATTTTTTTGTAGTGTTGGGTTGATCGAGGTCCAGTCTGGAGTGTAAGTCTCGTCTGGGTGATCATTCTGTGCGAGAGAAAACCCTTCTGTCATATGCATATGATCCGATAGTGCATACCTGCAAAACAAGTAACCGAAACGCGATAAATTCCACAATTTCTCGGTTCGTGAGGCAATAAAAATTGAGACATCAACAGTGAAAATTTAATAAGAAGGTCCTTTTTCTTTTTCTGTTTGTTCTTTTCATAGATATATTAATGGTAGAAAAAGCAGAAGAAACAATGTACTATATAATGCATTAATTTTACCCATCAATAAAGTTAAAGTGACAATAAGTGTATGGGACCCAATTTTCAGAATTATGTTTTTTTTTGTTAATTGGGAGTCCTGAACCGAAGCTCAGACTAATCTCGGGATTGAGAACAAACTATGCAATTAGAATGTGCACTCTTCTCTCCAATTTGAGATTCGAACTTGGGGCGGGACGGACGCTTTGCGTTTCCATTTCACTGGTTGAACTACCTAAGTTGGATACTTTTTCAGAATTATGTTACAAAGATTTAATCTGACAAATATCCATTTCCTTTCAAATATATAAGATTTTTGGTTGATGTGAAGTGTATCTCTTTTCCAAATGAATTCATAATTATCCCTTATTCGCAAGCTCCAAAAAATTTGTAACAAATGATTTGGGTGCCAAGACAAATCCCATGAGAAAAGGGCAGTTCAGACTCTTGTGGTTTTGATGCTTGATGCCTTTGTTAAGTGCATGAACCTCTTTATTTTGCCTCTTCCATTCGCACACCCTTGTATGTGCATGTAACCCCATGTACTTGCGTATCTGTGTATATAATATTATATTATATATATATGTACATATACACGTGTGTGTGTGTGTGTGGGCACTTAGATATATGTTTGTTTAACGATGGGTATACATTTGTTTTCTTGAACCAGGAATTAGTGTTATAGTGTGTGTATATA